CTCTTGGGAGCCTCTTGGGGCCTCCTGGCGGCCCCGTGGGGCCCGCTTGGGTTTTTGTTTCGGGGGCTCTTGAAGGTTTCTTGGAGTCTACGGGGTGCTTTTTGGTGAGGATGGCTCGAAATGTCTGGTGGAGTAACCCTCGGGGCTGTGTGGGGAAGCTGTCCCGGGGACCTCTGGGACCGTCTTGGGGGCCCCCTGGACAGTCGAGGGCCCCTCTTGAGCCGTCTTGGAGGCCTCTTGGAACTCTCTTTGGCCGTCTTGGGGCGATCTGGTCGGCTCCTGGGGCCACCTTCGACGCGGTCGACGCCGAAGCGGCGAACATGATCTTAAAAATGCACGTGTTCCGTAAGGAATGGGGCCATTTTTGCTTTTGGAGGCGCTCTTGGCAATCTTCTTGGGGGACTCTGGGGCCGTCGTGGGGGCTCCCGGAAGCCGTCTTGGAACCATCGTCGGCGCGTTGGAGCGACAGTTCGGGGATTCTGGGCCCTCGTGGACGTTTGGAGACCTCCTGGAGTCTTGGGGGCCTCACGGACAATCGAGGGCCCCTCTTAAGCTGTCTTGGAGGCCTCTTGGAACTCTCTTTGGCCCTCTTGGGGCGATCTGGTCGGCTCCTGGGGCCGTCTTCGACGCGGTCGACGCCGAAGCGGTGACCATCGTACAAACGGACGTTTTCCGAAGGAGATGGGGCCATTTTGCTTCTGGGGGTGCTCTCGGGAGTCCTCTTGGGGGACTCTTGGGCCGTCGTGGGGGTTCCCGGAGGCCGTTTTGGCAGCCTCTGCGGAAAAGTGCCTGGGACTGCCGCGCAGCGTGGGGATGCAGAACAGGCTGCGTGGGGAGAAACGTGGGAAAAAGCAATGGGATAACCACGTGTGTGAGCTGCGGGAGCTCTCCTGGAGGCCTCTAGGGAGACCTGGGGCACCAGGCGGGAGCAGCCCCTGGACATCCCTGCACCCTCTTGGGGCTCTGGTGGCTCCGGGCCGCCGAAGCCTTGTAAAGACACAGAGAAAGGAAGGCCCCGGGCCCCCAATGCGCCGCAGAGGTCCCTGGGCGGGACCCCCCCGGCCAGATCCCCCGGGGTTCTGATGGCTCCGGGTGGCCGAAACCCTAAAAACACGGCGAAAGTAATGCCCCGGGCCCCCAATGCCCCGCCGAGGTCCTTGTGCGGGACCCCACCCACCACGTCCCCAGGGGCTCTGGTGGCTCTGGGTGGCCGAAACCGTAAACACAGCGAAAGTAAGGCCCTGGGCCCTGCATACCCTGCCGAGGTCCCTGGGCAGGACCCCCTGGCCACCCCCCGGGTAAAACCAATAAAAACACAGAGATGAAGGCCCCAGGCCCCCATGCGCCGCCGAGGTCCCTGGGCGGGACCCGCCTGGCTGCGTCCCCCGGGGCTCTGGTGGCTCCGGGTGGCCGAAACGTTGCAAAACACAGCGAACGAGTAGAAAAAACAAAAGAAACAAAAAACAAAAAAACAAAAAACAAAAAACAATAATAACAAAAAAAAAAAAAAAAAAAACTGGCGAAATACCCAACCATATGCAATTGTGAATACTGCAATTGTGAATATCTTCTCGGTGGAGCCCCCTACGGGGCCACGAAACGTACGAGGGGTGTGCCGAGATGGGTATGCGGGACGCATGCGGGCACACCCACTGGGGCCTTCGGTGGAGCTCTCTATGGGGCCAAGAAACGTGTGAGGGGTGTGCCGAAATGGGTGTGGGACGCATGCGGGCGCGGGCACTGGGGCCTTCGGCGGAGCTCCCTATGGGGCCACGAAACGTGTGAGGGGTGTGCCGAAATGGGTGTGGCTGACGCATGCGGGCGCGGGCACTGGGGCCTTCGGTGGAGCTCCCTATGGAGCCACGAAACGTGTGAGGGGTGTGCCGAAATGGGTGTGGGTGACGCATGCGGGCGCGGGCACTGGGGCCTTCGGTGGAGCTCCCTATGGAGCCACGAAACGTGTGAGGGGTGTGCCGAAATGGGTGTGGGTGACGCATGCGGGCGCGGGCACTGGGGCCTTCGGTGGAGCTCCCTATGGAGCCACGAAACGTGTGAGGGGTGTGCCGAAATGGGTGTGGGTGACGCATGCGGGCGCGGGCACTGGGGCCTTCGGTGGAGCTCCCTATACGTGTGAGGGTGTGCCGAAATGGGTGTGGGTGACGCATGCACTGGGGCCTTCGGTGGAGCTCCCTATGGAGCCACGAAACGTGTGAGGGTGTGCCGAAATGGGTGTGGGAACGCATGCGGTGGCGGGCACTGGGGGCTTCTGGGGCCTTCGGCGGAGCTCCCTATGGAGCCACGAAACGTGTGAGGGGTGTGCCGAAATGGGTGTGGGTGACGCATGCGGGCGCGGGCACTGGGGCCTTCGGTGGAGCTCCCTATGGAGCCACGAAACGTGTGAGGGGTGTGCCGAAATGGGTGTGGGTGACGCATGCGGGCGCGGGCACTGGGGCCTTCGGTGGAGCTCCCTATGGAGCCACGAAACGTGTGAGGGGTGTGCCGAAATGGGTGTGGGTGACGCATGCGGGCGCGGGCACTGGGGCCTTCGGTGGAGCTCCCTATGGAGCCACGAAACGTGTGAGGGGTGTGCCGAAATGGGTGTGGGTGACGCATGCGGGCGCGGGCACTGGGGCCTTCGGTGGAGCTCCCTATGGAGCCACGAAACGTGTGAGGGGTGTGCCGAAATGGGTGTGGGTGACGCATGCGGGCGCGGGCACTGGGGCCTTCGGTGGAGCTCCCTATGGAGCCACGAAACGTGTGAGGGGTGTGCCGAAATGGGTGTGGGTGACGCATGCGGGCGCGGGCACTGGGGCCTTCGGTGGAGCTCCTATGGGGCTACGAAACGCTGTACTGGGTGGGTGAAACGCAGGGAAGAGATGATGATGATGATGATGATGATGATGATGATGATGATGATGATGATGATGATGATGATGATGATGATGATGATGATGAATGATGAATGATGATGATGATGATGATGATGATGATGATGATGATGATGATGATGATGATGATGATGATGATGATGATGATGATGATGATGATGATGATGATGATGATGATGATGATGATGATGATGATGATGATGATGATGATGATGATGATGATGATGATGATGATGATGATGATGATGATGATGATGATGATGATGATGATGATGATGATGATGATGATGATGATGATGATGATGATGATGATGATGATGATGATGATGATGATGATGATGATGATGATGATGATGATGATGATGATGATGATGATGATGATGATGATGATGATGGCAGGAGGGAAGGGGCAGCGGGAGGAGGAGGAGGAGTGAACGCGGGGCGCTGTCTCTTCAAAACGAGGACCCAACACCACAGGATGGTTGGGGGGAAAAAACAAAAAAAAACAATCAAAAACAATCAAAAAAAAAAAAACGGCGAAAGGAAGGCCACGGGGCCCCCATACCCCGCCGAGGTCCCTGGGCGGGACCCCCCCGGTCACGTCCCGTGTAAAAACACGGGGAAATGAAGGCCCCGTACCCCCCATGCGCCGCCGAGGCCCCTTGGCAGGACCCGCCCGGCTGTGTCCCCCAGTGCTCTGGTGGCTCCGGGCGGCCGAAACCATCCAAAAACACAGCGACAGTAAGGCCCCGGGCCGCCCATACCCCGCCAAGGTCCTTGGGCGGGACCCCCCGGCCACGTCCCCCGGGGTTCTGGGTGGCTCCAGGTGGCCAAGACTCTACAACAAAAAACACAAGGAAAATAAGGCCCCGGGCCCCCCATGCCCTGCCGAGGTCCATGGGCGTGACCACACCGGCCACGTCCTCTGGTGTATTTTAAATGTGCGCAGATAGATAGATAGATTGATTGATTGATGGATAGACAGATAGATAGATGGATAGATAGATAGATAGATAGTTAGAGAGATATAGCTATATATATATATATGTGTGCATACTTACATATACATATACATATATATATATATATATATGTACATACATATATATATATATATATATATATATATATAAACACGATGAGAGAAAACCCTCCTGCGCCACACGATGTTGCTCAATGGTGGGGACCTTCGCCCAGACAAGTTGTGGACTGCCCCAGGGCCCACACACGGCCACTGGAGGCAGGACAAAACCTAGAATCCTCCTCCTCCTGCTGCTGCTGCTCATCCTTGTCCTCCCCCTCCGTTCATAATCTACCCCCGGACTTAGTTTGGTGCGTCCTTGGCAAAAAAACGGGGCGGATCCAGCCGTGGCCACGAGGGCGGTCCTGGAGACTCGGTCACGCCCTCCCCCCTCGGCTACGCGCAAGAGTTGACCCCCGGGCAGGAGAGACCTCCTCGGCGCGAGGCTTGGGAGATCGCTGCACGCGGTGCGCCAGCAGCGGCCTGCTTGCCTGGGTCTGGCCCCCCCTCCCGCGTGCCCCCCCCCCCGAGAGCCTCGCACGAGGGATGCCGCGCCCCGGGGGGCGTCCGAGAGAAGAGCGCGCCCGAGAGGCCGGGGAGCGCCAGTCGTCCAAGAGAAGAGAGAGAGAGAGAGCGTCCAAGAGGAGAGAGCGTCCAAGAGAAGCCTCGCACGAGGGATGCCGCGCCCGGGGAGCGCAGGTCGTGGCCCGAGGGCACGTGCGCAGCCGAGGCGGGGGGGGGGCCAGGGGCAGGCATCGGAGCACAAAAAAAGGCGCCACGGAACCTGGGGAGGCATCCCTGGCCCCGGCCACTGGCCAATGGTCCCAGAGATCCAAAGCATTGAGAAAATCAGGGCGGAGGTTTTTCACCCTTTTCGGCCTCCAGGGGGCCTCGCCGGGCCCCAGGACGGTCAAAAAACGACTCAGGATGAAAAACCGGTCCTGGGGAAGTGGTCGGACCTCCAGGGACCCGGCATTGAAAAAGTTACGACATCGGATCTCTGGGGTATCCACACACCCCCATCGTCATCACCCCCACTTTGGCCGCCCCAGGTCTGCGCGAGGCCGGGTCCCCCCGTCCCCCTTCGGGTCCTCCCGGGTGAAACCGGCGGGCGCCTCCGGCTCGCGCTTGGGCGCGCCTTGGCGCCGCGCGGCCGTGGCGAAGGCGACGGGTTGGTCGCTCGCGACGCGGCCGTTGCCCGCCGGCGCCTGGAAGGAGGCGAGACGAGACGAGCGTCCGAGTCGCGCGTGCCCCACCAGTAGGCCCGCTCGTGCCCAGCAGGGCATGGCGTGGAGGCCGTGGCCTAAGATCAACGACAGCTGACTAGTCAGTCAGAATGGGTCGGGTCTACCCTGGAGATGGGGCCCATCAGGCCGTGGCTGAGGAGGACAACGGAGAAGGGGGAACGCGAAGGCCGTGGCTCTTATTCCAAGAAGAAGGCCTTCCTATTATCATTCGCCGGGAGGAAGGGGCCAGGGAGGGAAGGAGGGAGAGGGGGGCAGCATCGAGGATCGATGTCTGTGGGCGTTTGAGGGGAGCCTTTTTGGGCCTCCCCGGCGCCATACTGGCCACGGCTGGGCCCGCTGACCCGCCCCGAACTTCTGGCCAGAGCGCGCACCAGGCGAAGGCCGGGGCCGATCTCCAGCGGAGGGTGACGTGATGCCTGCACAGGGCCCGTGGGCCACTGGCCGGCGCGCCGCGCAGGCGTCCCCAGCAAACAGGGCCAGACTCGCAGGGAGATCTTGAGGGAGGAGGAGGGCGAGGAGGAGGAGGAGGAGGAGGAGGAGGAGGAGGAGGAGGGGAGGGAGAGAGGGAATGAGGAGGAGCGCCTCGCCTGCGCCATGTCCTCGTCGCCACGTCCTGCCGTGGGCGGCAGCGCTACCGTCAGCCCCCGCAGGCGTGCGCAGAACGCCTCCCACTCGTCGGCCTGCTCCGCGGCATACAGTTTGAGGCCAGGATAGTCGTCCAGGACGTCCTCCCCAGGAGCGGCGGGGGGGGGGGGGGGCGCGAGGCGCGCTCGAGGCCACGGAGAGCGGCGTCGACGAAAGAGGCGGCAGGACGAGGCGGAGATTGGGGGCGGGGTAGGAGGGCGGGGAGGAAGACGAGGCCCGCTCACACTTGGAGCCCCAGGAAGCCCCAAAACGGGCCAGAAAGGTTCTAAAGGTTCCCGGAACGGTCCAAGAGAGCTACGCATCGACGAAAGATCGCCCAAAAACGCCGAAGATTGCCTCCACGCGGCTCCATAAGTCCCCAAGACGTTTGAAACAATATTACGAGGCGCCCCAAAGAGGCCCTCCAGAAACAAACATCGTCCCAGTTATCCGGGAAAACGTGCATTTTCACCACATTCGCCCATTCAGCTTCCACGCGGCGCAAAAGCCCAAGAAAACTTCAAGATCGACCCTCGCCAGCCCAAGAAGCTCCCAAAAAGACTCCAAGACGGCGTCCGGGCGATCCACGAAGGCCCCAGAAACCATAGCAACGGCTTAGGAAAGCCGCAGGATGGTCCCAAGAGGGCCCCAAAACGGGGCAAGAGGACTCCCGAAGGTTGTCCGGACGGCCCACGCCGGGAACGATTCGGTCCAAACCGCCCAAGATCGCCGCCAGACGGCCCCATAGGTATCCAAGACGTTTGAAAACGCGACCACGAGGCGCTCCAAGAAAACCTCCATAAGCAAAAACCGCCCCATTCCCTTGGGAAACATGCATTTTCAACACATTCGTTTTTTCGGCTTTCACGAGGCCCACAACGGCCCAATAAATCTCCAATATCGAGCCCTGTCACCCGAAGAGGTTCCCAAGAAGGCTCCAAGACGGCTTCCGGGCGATCCACGAAGGCTCCAGAAACCATAGCCACGGCCCAGGAAAGTCGCAGGACGGTCCCAAGAAGGCTCCAAAACGGGCCACGAGGACTCCCAAAGGCTATCCGGACGGCCCACGCGGGGGACGATTCGGTCCAAACCGCCCAAGATCGCCGCCAGACGGCCCCATTGGTGTCCAAGACGTTTGAAAACGCGACCACGAGGCGCTCCACGAAAACCTCCATAAGCAAAAACCGTCCCTAATGGGAAACATGCATTTTCAACACATTCGCTTTTTCGGCTTTCACGAGGCCCACAACGGCCCAATAAATCTCCAATATCGAGCCCTGTCACCCGAAGAGGTTCCCAAGAAGGCTCCAAGACGGCTTCCGGGCGATCCACAAAGGTTCCAGAAACCATACCAACGGCCCAGGAAAGCCGCAGGACGGTCCCAAGAAGGCTCCAAAACGGGCCACGAGGACTCCCAAAGGCTATCCGGACGGCCCACGCGGGGGACGATTCGGTCCAAACCACCCAAAATCGCCGCCAGACGGCCCCATGGGTGTCCAAGACGTTTGAAAACACGACAATGAGGCGCTCCAAGAAAAACTCCATAAGCAAAAACCGTCCCATTCCCTTGGGAAAACGAATATTTCAGCAAATTCGCCTCTTGGGCTTCCACGAGGCCCACAACGGCCCAGTAAACCTCCAAGATCGACCTCTGGCACCCCGAAAGACTTTCCAAAAGGCTCCACGACGGCTTCCGGGCGCCCCACGAATGCCCCAGAAACCATAGCAACGGCCCAAGGGAACGGCAGGACGGTCCTAAGAGGATTCCGAAACGTGTCTAGAGGGCCTCACAGGCTGACCGGACAGGCCACGCGGGGGACGATTGTTGCCGCCCCAACGGGTCGGCGATGCGGCGTAAGCCAATGAATCATGCCATACGCCGGAGCGCGCGGGCAAAAGAACACACTGCCTGCCCACTCTCCCCGCTTTGCAGGAAAGGCGGCGCGCCGACCCTCTCACTTACATCGTGTGCAAACTAGACATAAAAATGCTCGGGAACTCAAGCGGGTACGACTTGCACGGGAATTCAAGGTGAAGAAACGAACTCTATACACCGACGCTTTTTTCCAGCCCCGCACTAAAATTCGCACATGACAGCGGATCCTGGTGCGTACGGCATCTTGGCGTGCACACTTTTCGTTGTTTCCCCAAGGGAACCGGGAAAAACGCATACACCACCCCCCACCCCGGACCGATCGATTCCCCGGTATCCTATGCAATACACATACGATTATGATCCAATGGCCATCCTACTTGTGGATTCTTACTACCCCAGCCAGGTCGGTGTTGGTACCCCCTCGGTCCCATTGCAAAACATACTATACGGTGACATTTTTGTTCTAACATAACACGTTGTTGCTCGCGAATCCCTTTTTGTAAACGACGGGGCGAGGTGCATACGCGCGCGTCGTCGCGCGCATGCCGAAATCCTTTACGAACCTTCGAGTTCGGAAGGATTTCAAAATCGAGTGTCCACAGAAACATTCTACACAAATAAAGACTCGCAACACGGATGTCTAACAAAGAGCGCGCGCGCGCGCTTGCGAATTCTTCAGAAAACCAAAACTGTTCAATAACTATGTTCACGGAACGCTACCAAACGGGCTTCGCGCGCGCATGTCAAAAATCGTTCGAACGCCCTCGCGCCCGTGCTAGGGTGGCACGATCCGTGTCAAATAAAACCATGCGAGCCAATCTCGCGCGTCTGCCGCGCACGCATTTCGAATTCCTTCCAAGACCTTCATCACCGACGCGAAGATGCCGTCATCGTGGTCGGCGTGATCAGCATCAACGCCGTCACTGGCTGCCCCGTCGTCGCTGTCAGCATCGTCGCCAGCATCGCTACTATCATCGCGTTTACCGTTGTCGACGCGTGGCCATGATACCGCGCCCGCCCAAATCGCCGACTCGCACTGAAGTGCCCGCTGGGATATGCCGGGCGGTCAGCGCAACCGCGTTCGCGTCGGTCGCGCCAAACTAGCTGGCCGCTGCCCGCGCGAGCATGCGCGGGCTAGCGCGGCTGAAGACATGCACCAGTCAACACCCAGCACTCATCGCAATCGCTCCCGCATGGGATGTGCAAATCAAGGTGCGGGTGGGTGGGTGGGATGATTGCGCGAGCAGTGGAGCTGACAATCTAAATTCGGTAAATGAATTCTCCTTTCTAGAAAAAATCCTGGCGAAGGACCCAGCCATATGAAGTTGTGGGTACCGCAATTATGGATATATTCTTCGGTGAAGCTCCTTATGGGGCCACGAAGCGCTGCACTGGGCGGGGGGGGGAACGCATGCGGGCGGTAGCAGTGGGGCCGTCGGTGAAGCTCCCTATGAGGCCACGAAGCGCTGCACTGGGTCGGTGAAAATACCAATTTAATCGTGTGGGACGCATGAGGGCGGCCCCATTGGGGGCTTCGGTGGAGCTCCCCATGGGGCCGCGAAGCGTCGTGCACATTAAGTGGCAATTCCAAATTGTGTGTCGGGGACGCATGCGGGCGGCCCCACTGGGGGCTTTGGTGGGGCTCCCTATGAGGCCACGAAGTGCTGCACTGGGTCGGTGAAAATGCCAAATTGGGTGTGGGGGGACGCATGCGGGCGGTCCCAATGGAGGCTTCGGTGGAGTTCCCTGTGGGGAACGCGTGCGGCGGTCCCACTGGGGGGGTGATCCCTATGGGGCCACGAAGCGCTGTACTGGGCGGGTGACAATGCCAAATTGGGCACGGTGGACGCACGCGGGCGGTCCCATTGGGGGCTTCGGTGGGTGACAACGCCAAAGCTAGTTTGGGGGACGCACGCGGACAGTCCCACTGGGGGCTTCGGTGGAGCTCCCGATGGGGCCACGAAGCGCTGTACTGGGTGGCAAGTTGGGTGTGGGTGACGCATGCGGGCGGTCCCACTGGGGGCTTCGGTTGAGCTCCCTAGGGGGCCACGAAGCGCTGCGCTGGGTGGGTGAAAATGCCACTTTGGATGTGGGGGACGCATGTTGGCGGTACCACTGGGGGCTTCGGTGGAGCTCCCTATGGGGTCACGAAGCGCTGTACTTGGGTGGGTGAAAATGCCAAATTGGGCGTGGGGGACGCACGCGGGCGGTCCCACTGGGGGCTTCGGTGGAGCTCCCTATGTGGCCACGAAACGCTTTGCTGGGTGGGTGACAATGCCAAGTTGGGTGTGGGGGACGCATGCGGCCGGTCCCACTGGGGGTCTCGGTGGAGCTCCCTACTGGGCCACGAAACGCTGTGCTGGGTGGGTGACAATGCCAACTTGGGTGTGGGGGATGCATGCGGGCGGTCCCACTGGGGGCTTCGGTGGGGCTCCCTCTGGGTCACGAAGCGCTGTACTGGGTGGGCGAAAATGCCAAATTGGATGCGGGGGACGCATGTGGACGGTCCCACTGGGGGCTTCGGTGAAGCTCCCTATGGGGCCACGAAACGCTGTACTGGGTGGGTGAAACTGCCAAATTGGGCGTGGGGGACGCATGCGGGCGGTCCCACTGGGGGCTTCGGTGGAGTTCCCTATGGGGCGCCACGAAACGCTGTGCTGAGTGGGTGAAGCGCATGGAAGAAGGAGGAGGGACGGGAAAAGGAGGAGAGGAGGAGGAGGAACGCGGGGCGACGTCTCTTCAAAACGAGGACCCAGCACCACAGGATGTACCGCCCCCCCCCTGGCGGCTTTATCGGTCCCCCTTTCGGGTATGTAAATCATATATGATTATGACCACATGCCCATCCGAAATATGTATATCTACACTCTCCCAGGGGGGCCGGTATCGACCCCCCTGAGGTTCCCTTGTGAATACGATACGCGGGGACATTTTTATGTTCTAACATAAGACTTGTTCACGAATCCCCAGCAACAAAAAAAACAAACAACAAAAGAACAACAACAAAAAAAAAAAAAACGAAGTGCACTCGCGCGCGCCGTCGCGCGCGCATGCCAAAATCCTTCAAAAACCTTCGGGTGCGGAAGGATTTCGCAATCGAGTTTTTTATATGTAGGATTCGCAACACTAATTTGCTAAAAAAGCTTACGCGCGAGCTCTTGCGAAATCTTTCAGGAACCATAGGTTTTTCAAAATTTTCACAACATGCTACCAAACGGGCTTCGCGCGCGCGCATGTCGAAATCTGTCGAAAGCCCTTGGGCGTGCGCCGTCGCGAGAATCCTCTGCAAAAAACGGGACGAAGTGCAGACGCGCGCGTCGTCGCGCGCGTATGCCGAAGTCCTTCAAAACCCATCGGTTTCCGAAGGATGTCAAGATCGTGTGTCCCAAAAAACCTACTGAAACACCAGGTTTCGCAACACGGATGTTCCACAAAAGCGTGCGCGCGCGCTCTTGCGTCGTCGTCGTCGTCGCCGTCCTCCCTCCTCCCGCGTCGTCGTCGTCGTCGCCTACGTCGTCCTCTGTCTTTCCTCGTGTTCGTCGTCGTCGTCCTCTTTGGCGTCGTGGTCGTTTCCGTCGTCGTTGTCGCCGTGGTCGTCCTTCCTCCTCCTCCCTCGTCGTCGTCGTCGTCCGTCGTCGGCGTCTCGTCGTCGTCCCTCCTATTTCGTCGTCGTCGTCGTCGTTGTCGTCGTCGTCGTCTTCCCTCCTCCCTCGTCGTTGTCGTCGTCGGCGTCGCCGTCCTTCCTCCTTCTTCGTCGTTCGCGTCGTCGCCGTCCTCCCTCCTCCCTCGTCGTTGTCGTCGTTGTCGTCGTTGTCGCCGTCGTCGTCCTCCCTCCTCCCTTGTCGTCGTCTTCGTTGGCGACGTCGTCGTCGTCTTCGTCGTCGTCGTCGGCGTCGGCGACGTCGTCGTCTTCGTCGTCGACGTCGGCGTCGTCGTCGTCGCCGCCGTCGTCGTCGTCGTCGTCGGCGTCGTTGACGTCGTCGTCGTCGTCGTCGGTGTCGTCGTTGTCGTCGTCGTCGGCGTCGTCATCGCCGTCGTCGTTGTCATCGGTTGTCGTCGTCGGCGTCGGAGTCGTCGTCGTCGTCGTCGGTGTCGTCGTCGTCGTCGTCGTCGTCGTCGTTGTCGGCGTCGTCGAAGTCGTTGGAGACGTCGTCGGTGGTCGTCGCTGTCGTTGTCGGCGGCGTCGTCGTCGTCGTTGTCGCTGTCGTCGTCGGCGCCGCTGTCGTTGCCAAGTGCTATGTGGTACCCACCGTCACGGTCTTAAGAGATTTTGCAAACCAAGTTGCGGGCGGGTGGGTGGGATGCTTGCGCGAGCAGTGGAGGTGGTCAAGCGCGGTGCAGGGTAGTCAATTCTCCTTTCTAAAAACAGAATAGGATCTACCCCCCCCCCCGGCGTTATCACTCCCCCTTTCGGATAGGAAAACGTGTATGATTATGACCACATGTCCATCCTAAACATGAAATCACAATGTCAAATGCCAACCGGTATCCCCTCCTGAGGTTCCCTTGTAAAAAACACTATGCAGTGAGATTTTTTGTTCTAATATAACAGTGTTTCACGAATCCCTTGCAAAAAATGAGACGAAGTGCACACGCGCGCGTCGTCGCGCGCGCATGCCGAAATCCTTCAAAAACCTTCGGTGCCGCAAAGATTTCGCAATCGAGCTTCAACAAAAACATACACAAACACCGGGTTTCGCAACACTGATCTGCTAAAAAAGCTCCCGCGCGAGTTCTTGCGAAATCTTAAGAAAACCGTAGGTTTTCAAGATTTTGACAAAATGCTACCAAACGGGCTTCGCGCGCGCATGTCGAAATCTGTCGAACGCCCTTGCGCACGTGCCGTCGCTAGAATCCTCTGCAAAAAACGGGACGAAGTGCAGACGCGCGCGTCGTCGCGCGCGTATGCCGAAAACCTTCAAAACCCATCGGTTTCGGAAGGATTTCAAAATCGTGTGTTCAAAAAACCTACAAAAACCCAAGGCTTCGCAACATGGATTTTCAACAAAAGCGTGCGCGCGCGCTCTTGCGTCGTCGTCGTCGTCGCCGTCCTCCCTCCTCCCGCGTCGTCGTCGTCGTCGCCTACGTCGTCCTCTGTCTTTCCTCGTGTTCGTCGTCGTCCTCCTCTTTGGCGTCGTGGTCGTTTCCGTCGTCGTTGTCGCCGTGGTCGTCCTTCCTCGTCGTTGACGTCGTCGTCGTCGTCGGTGTCGTCGTTGTCGTCGTCGTCGGCGTCGTCATCGTCGTCTTGGGTTTTGCAAACCAAGTTGCGGGTGGGCGGGTGGGATGCTTGCAAGAGCGCGGGATGTGTCAACTCGTTTGTAAAAATCAATTGCACCACATAAATTGCACCACACAGGTTGCGCGACATATATTGCACAAACCATACATTTCACAACATAGATTGCACCGCATAGACTGCACCACATAGATTGCACAACATGGCTTCCTAGAAACACGCTGACACACTGTGTGGGGCCCACGCTGGTTAACATTTGTTATGTGTGTGTGTGTTGGCTGTCTTGTCGAAGGCTCCTATATCCACTATCTGCCCATATCCATTGCCTTGCCGAGGCTCCCGAAGATCGATCCCCCAGGCGGTGCGTCTGGACAAATCCCCTCCTCGGAAAACTGGGCCTGCGGAGGCCTGGCGGTGGCGGAAGCGGTGCTCTCGCGGCCAGCGGCAGCAGTGCGTCGGCCACACGCAATGGTGACCCTAGGCAAGAGTGTAATTTGATGCTCGGCTCCAGGCGAAATAGATGGGTGGCCAAACCCAAGCGCGAGAGCCGCTGCTGTCGCATTCGATTCCGCGATCGGGATACCCCAGTGGGCCCGCACGAAAGGTCACTCCAGCGAAGGGTCAGTCTCACGGTGGGGATTTTTTGCTTAGCGTGTCACCCTGGCGGTCCTGGTGACACGCTGTGCCTTGCAAGCGGATAGCGTGTCGCTCCGCTCCGCGGGGCGGGAGGCTCGGGAAAGCTCGAGACGCTGATGTTCCAGGACGCGGAAATGAATAGCTTGTCGCTCCGAGGCGCGGTGGGCCAAAACCGGCGGAGCCACACGCTATCCAAAAGTCCCCGACCATACGTGCAGCCGAGGCGACCCCCCCGGCCTGGCGCCGGCGGCTCCTGGCCCAGCTCCAATGCGCCCCCGGGCAAAGCGGCCCGGGCCGCCTCGGCGACCTCCGCCTGGAGCGCCCGGACCTCCCGTTCCGCGCACGCCAGCGAAGCCCTGTCAGCGGCTATGCCGGCGGACAGCCTGGCCAGCTGTGCCTCCTCAGGGTGTCGTGCCCCGCACCAGCTCACCTCCTCCTCCTCCTCCTCCTCCTCCTCCTCCTCCTCCTCCTCCTCCTCCTCCTCCTCTTCCTCCTCCTCCTCCTCCTCCTCCTCCTCCTCCTCCTCCTCCTTTTCTTCCTCCTCCTCCTCCTCCTCGTCCTCGTCCACCTCTTCCTCCTCTTCCTCCTCCTCCTCCTCCTCCTCCTCCTCGTCCTCCTCCTCCTCCGCCTCCCCCCCTCCGCCTCCTCCGCCTCCGCCTCCGCCTCCTCCTCCTCCTCCTCCTCCTCCTCCTCCTCCTCCTTCTCCCCCGCTTCCTCCGCCTCGTCCACCTCCTCCTCCTCCTCCTCCTCCTTCTTCTCCTCTTCCTCCTCCTCCTCTCCCTCCCTCCCTCCATCCATCCATCCATCCCTCCCTCGGGGTGGCGTCTTTCCCAAACCAAACGGGCCTTCCCAAACCAAACCTTCGGTCAGGGTGACCCAGGGCTTGGTTTGGGAAGACCCGGTTGGTTTTGGAAGACCCGTCCGGTTTGGGAATGCCCACGGCTTGATTGGGAACACCCAGTTGGTTTGGGAAGACCTGGTTGGTTTGTGAAGACCCCGGGGTTTGGTTGGGAACACCTGGTTGGTTTGGGGAGACATGGTTGGTTTGGGAAGACCGGGTTGGTTTGGGAAGACCCGGTCAGTTTGGGAACCCCCAAGGTTTTGGTTTGGGAAGACCCAGCTGGTTTGGGCTGACCTGGTTGGCTTGGAAGGCCCGGTTGGTCTGTGAAGACCAGGGGGTTTGGTTTGGGAAGACCCGGTTGGTTCGGGAAGACCCGGTTGGCTTGGGAAGACCCATTTGGTTTGGGAAGACCTGGGGGCCTGGCTTTTGCGTTGGAGGGTGGAAGAAGGGGTTTGCAACAGGGGGTCTGCAGTGGGGCCTGAATGGCACATGTATGCTCGATATATCGCTCATGTGCGTGATGGGGTACGATTGGCATCCAACGTCGGCGGCCATGGAGGGCCAGTTGTTCGTGCCCGCGCGTCGCCCGCGCGGGCAAAAGCGCCGTCCATCCATTATCGTTCATGCGTGCGGGCCTTCTTGCATATCGCGCGTGGGCCGGCGAAGTGGGGTGCAAGTGTGTCTTGAATGTGCGATTGGTGATCGCGTATGTTCCCAAACGATGAACTGTCGAGCCCTAAGACAGATTTGAAGTGGATCTTGCGATTCTCCCAAAAACTATATTCACATTATCCTTTCTTCCAAAATGTGAATTCACACTTTCCTTTTTTTCCCAAAATGTGGATTCACATTCTGGCCCCTACATGAAGATTCCGAAGCCAAATTCCAAAATGCAAATTCACATTCACATCTTCCTTTTTCCCAAAATGTGAATTCACATTTTGCTTTTCCCCACAATATGAATTCACATTTTGCCCTGGCCTTCAAGATCCACAAAACTGAGGCGCAGTGTTCCGCATGTCAAATTGGCTGGGCAGATTTTGACACTCACCTCGCCGCTTTCGTTTATTCCAACCTTTTCTTGCTCCCTCAGCGCATGTTGCCTTCGTCGCCTTTCCCCAGCCCCCCGCCCAGTTGCTTCGTTTACCCTCAAGTCTCGCGCATGGATGCAGGCGGGGAGCTTCAAATGGTTCCCCCGCCGAACACAGCAATCGAAGATGTATCGCCCATGCGTGCCCCAAAGGAACACCATTGCCGGGACCCTGCGCCCGACCCCCACATTCACTCTCCAATTGGGACGGAACGGATGGTTTGTGAAGACCCGGGGGCTTGGTTTGGCACGACCCGCTTGGTTTGCGAAAGCGCGGTTGGCTTGGTAAGACCCGGGGGCTTGGTTAGGCTAGACCCACTTGGTTCGGGCGGAACCGGGGGCGAAACGAAAGCGAGAACAAAGGCAGGAACGAGAACAGAAACGAGGGCCAAACGAAGGCGAAACGAAGGCGACAACAAGGCGAGAACGTGAGCGGAACCCAAAGCGAAACGAAAACGAACCGAAAGCGAGAGCTAAAGCGGGAACGAGACGGAAACGAGCACGAAACGAGGGCAAAACGAAGGCCAGAGCGAAGGCGAAAACGAAAGCGGAAGCCAAAACGAAACGAAGGCGAAACGAAAGCGAGAACGAAAGCGGGAACGAGACGGAAACGAGCACGAAACGAAAGCGAAACGAAGGCCAGAGCGAAGGCGAGAACGAGAGCGGAAGCGAAAGCGAAACGAAGGCGAAACGAAGGCGGGAAACGAGAGCGGACACAAAGACAATCGAAGACGAAACGAAGGCGAGAACGAAGGCGAGGACGAGGGCGGAAACGAAAGAGAAACGAAGACGAAACGAAGGCGAGAACGAAAACGAAAACGATGTCGGAAACTAAGCGAAACAAAAACGAAACGAAGGCGAACACGAAAGCAATAACGAGACGGAAACAACAGCGAAACGAAAGCGAAACGAAGGCGAGAACGAAGGCCAGAACAAGACCGAAATGAGGGCGACGACGGCGAGAACGAAGACGAGAACAAGAACGGAAACGAAGGCGAAATGAAAGCAGAACGAAGGCGAGAACGAAGACGAACGAAGGGCGGAAACGATCGCCAAACGGAGGCGAAACGAAGGCGGGAGCAAGGCGAGAACAAGGCGAGGATGTGAGCGGAAACGAAAGCAAAACGAAAGCGAAACGAAGGCGAGAACGAAAGCGGGAACGAGACGGAAACGAGCACGAAACGAAAGCGATACGAATGCCAAAGCGAAGGCGAGAACGAGAGCGGAAGCGAAAGCGAAACGAAGGCGAAACGAAGGCGGGAAACGAGAGCGGACACAAAGACAATCGAAAACGAGACGAAGGAGAGAACGAAAGCGGAAACGAAGGCGGAGCGAAGGCGAGAACGATGACGAGAACGAAGGGCGGAAACGAGAACGAGAACAGGGGCGAGTCGGGTCGAGCTGACGGACCCTAACGGGCGCGTCGGGTCGGGCGGGCGGGACACGCAAGTATGATGCATCATCGAGTTGGCGCGATTCCAGCCTAACGGGCGGGTCGGTCGGGCGGGCGAGGCGAGTCGAGTCCGGCGGGCGGACCCCCACAGGCAAGTCAGTTCGGGCAGGGGTGCCCTAACGGGCGGATCGTGCCAGGCGGGCGGGACATTCAAGTATTATGCATCATCGGGTTGGCGCACGTGTACCCTAACGGACGGGTCGGTCAGACGGGCAGGTCGGGTCGGGCGGGCGGACCCCGACGGGCGGATCAGATCGAGCGGGCGGAACACTAAAATATGATGCGTCATCGAGATGGCACGCGTGCGCCTGGCTTCCGGGGGCCCTGTTCTGGCTCAGCAACTCCGTGTTCTGGCTGGGCAAGGACCGACCTGTGAGGCTGAGCCTCATGTCGCGCGTGGTAGCCCGATAATGGGGGCGACGCCCATTCTTGACGCGACCGAGCTGGGGCTTGATGACCGCGCTGGCTGGCACACCTGTTGCCCCGCGCGCGCAGCACCTGGCCTGGCTTGAAATCGGTGCCGTACGCCCCGCACCGATAGCAAAGGGTAAGCCACAGCCCCTGTGCGCGGGGAGACTCCACCGCATACTTGAGGAGGCCGTGACCCCAGACGTACTATGCCTCGGGGGCCCCGTCTGGCCAGAGGAACAAGTGCTGCCGTCCGCCACCCCACACCACCACCACCGTCCGCCCCACTCCCGCGGCACGTATCCAAGCGGGGAAGGAAACATACCGATTGCGAATATTTCCCCCACCTCCGAACTTGACTCCACCGCCCGCTTCGCCCTTTCCTTCAGTCGCGCAGGGGTCTTGTCTCTACGAAGGCGGGCCTCACAGCAATATTGGCGATGACACAGCGTGCCTAGCTCGGCACGGCAGTTGAGGCAGAGAGGTGAGGCAGCCAGACCATGGTCAAAAACGATGGCCTGAGCATTACTCATGAGGCTCCTGAAAGCGCGCTGATGGTGGGCCTTCCAGACTGAGGTCCTCCTACGCAGAAGCAACGACACACCCTGCCATAACATCGGTAAAGACGGGAACCTTCTGGCCCTCGGACCGCCCTCGGGACCCGTGCTGGCCCAGGGCCTCCCTGTCAGAGCTCCCGATGGCAGCACCTCTGACAAGCCCGCGGAGCTGCATGCGAGCCAACTGCAACAAGTTCCAAGACTCACCTAGATCGCTGACGATGCGCGGGCTGCTAACAGACGTCCAACCGATGCGAGCTCGAGGAGGAGGAGGAGGAGGAGGAGGAGGAGGAGGAGGAGGAGAGGGAGGACGAGGAGGAGGAGGAGGAGGAGGAGGAGGAGGAGGAGGAGCGAGGAGGAGCGTGACGGCAGGGGGGAGGAGACGCTGGAGGAGGCCTGTTCTGGGGACCTTCCTGGAGCCACTCGCTCCACTCGTGCGTCGAAGCTGCGTCGAACGTCAGTCGATGTTGGGTCGACCCTGAGTCGAACCTGAGTCGAACCCGAGTCGAACTTGAGTCGAACTGGGGTCGCACTGGGGTCGCACTGGGGTCGAACAGATCCGTCAGGTGGGCTCCGGGAAGGTCCCCGAAACGAGCATCGAACGAGTCCTTGTCCCCGAGCGCGGCCCTCCGCTTCGCCAGCACCGCCCGCGCCCGCTGCAGCAGCTGCACGGACTGCCGGTGCGCCACCGCGGCGGGCGCGCGCAGCGCCCGCACCTCGGCCCGCAGCTGCCTGGGGGGCGGGGGGGGGGGATCGACGGATCGAGGGCCGAGGGCCAGGATCGAGAGGAGGAGGAGGAGGGGGAGGGGGAGGAGGAGGAGGAGGAGGAGGAGGAGGAGGAGGAGGAGGAGGAGGAGGAGGAGGAGGAGGAGGATCGAGGAGGGGAAGTGAAGTCGTTGTAGAGGGAGCACGGGCGGAGCGAACTCCCGGACGCTGCCACGGCCGCCCGCTCGCCTCGAGGTTCTGGCCGGAGCGCACCCTCGGGGAGGGGTCCGGAGGGTCGACGCCGAGGGGAGGACGTGTTTTCGCGTGTTCGCTCGCATCCGCCGCTTGGCACTTGTCATCATGCTGCGCCTCCGAGGCCTCTGGGCACCCAGGGAGGCCTCCAGGGATCTCCAAAAGACCTCCAGAGACCCAGGCCTCCGACCGCGTGGGCTGTTCGGTCCTGGCGTCGGCGTCTACATCCAACCTGCCTGGAAGGGGGTTCTTGCTCGACTTCCCTGTGCAGAGAAGCGAGCGATGCCAGTCATCACCTGGCGACGTAGGCGCCGCTTTCTCGTCAAAATTATATCCCACGCTGGGCTATGCCATGCTATGCTGTGCTGTGCTAGTTACGCTAACTATGCTATATGCTGTTAGGCATGGCATGCTATGCTGTGGGGTGCTGACGAGCTGTTATGATGCCATGCCATGCCATGCTTGGCTACGCAATGCCATGCCACGCGAATCTAGTCAAAACTACAATTGCATGCATGTCTTCACCAAGAAGACTACCCTTGATTGGGGTCACGCCAGGATTATCTCCGATTTCGGCGTCTGGGGGCCTCTGTCGGCGCATGGGACCATACAAAAAACGACCCAGGGAGGAGGGGGAGGAAGGAAGATGAGGCGGAGGACGTGGAGCCTCCTCCCCGAACATTCTGCCTTTCTCCTCCCACTCCCAACCCGTCCATCTTTCTCCCTCCTCCCCCTGTTCCGCCTCCTAGTCATCCCCGTCCTCCACCAATTTCTGCTCCTGCTGCTTTTGCTCTTCCTCCTCCACATCCTCCTCCACATCCTCCTCATCCTCCTCATCATCAGAATCACCATCATCATCATCATCACCACCACCACCACCACCACCATCATCATCATCATCATCATCATCATCATCAGCATCATCATCAGCATCAGTATCAGCAGCATCGTTATCATTATCATTATGAGTATCATCATCAGCATCATCACCAGCATCGTCACCATCGTCATCATCATCATCATCATCAGCATCATCATCATCATCATCACCATCAGCATCATCATCAGCATCACCATCAGCAGCAGCATCAGCATCAGCATCAGCATCGACAGCATCAGAAGCAGCAGCAGCATGTTCAGACTCCTCTTCATGACCATCAACCTCATCATCAGCATCAACATCATCATCAGCATCATCACCAACAGCACCATCAGCATCATCAGCATCAGCAGCAGCATCAGCATCAGCATTAGCATCAGCATCAGCATAATCCTCATCCTCATCGTCAGCATCAGCATCAGCATCAACATCAGCATCATCACAGCCACAATGTTCACACTACTATTGTAGGTAGTGGTAGTGATACAGTAGTAGTAGTAGTAGTAGTAGTAGTAGTAGTAGTAGTAGTAGTAGTAGTAGTAGTAGTAGTAGTCGTAGTCGTAGTAGTAGTAGTAGTCGTAGTAGTAGTAGTAGTAGTAGTAGTAGTAGTAGTAGTAGTAGTAGTAGTAGTACACCCTGCGAAATGCTCTAGAAATCATGGGTTAAGAAATTCATAGTCTCGGAATGTGAATCAAAGCCCAGAATGTCTATTCAAATCCTGGGATTTACATTGAAACATTAAGAATAATCTAGACTCTGGCCGAAAACTTGGGTATTCTTAAGCATCGCCTGGAGTGTAGTAGTAGTAGTAGTAGTAGCAGTAGTAGTAGTAGTAGTAATAGTAGTAGTAGTAGTAGTGGTAGTAGTAGTAGTAGTAGTCGTAGTAGTAGTAGTAGTAGCAGCAGTAGAAGTAGAAGTAGTCGTAATCGTAGTCATAGTCGTAGTGGTAGTCGTAGTTGTAGTACTAGTAGTGGTAGTAGTAGTAGTAGTAGTAGTAGTTGTTGTTGTTGTTGGTGTAGTTGTAGTAGTAGTAGTGGAACTAGTAGTGGAAGCAGTAGTAGTAATAGCACTAGAAGTAGTAGTAGTTGGTGTTGTATTATTACTAGTAGTAGTAGGTGGTAGTAGGTGGTAGTAGTAGTAGTAGTAGTAGTAGTAGTAGTTGTTGTAGTAGTAGTAGTAGTAGTAGTAGTAGTAGTAGTAGTAGTAGTAGTAGCAGCAGTCGTTGTCTTGTTATCAGTATTAGTATGTGTCACCATTGTGATTCGGATTGTGTGTACAAGTAGTCGCATTCGTCTTACCATTTCGAATAACAGCTGAATTAGTAGTAAGATTGGTAGTGGTCGTTGTCATAGTATGCCCAGTAATGTTATTAGTTGTATTGATAGGCGTCATCCCATTAACATTATTACTAATACCGACATTAGTACTCTTATGTGTAGTAGTCTGACTAGTACACGTCGTACTGTTATTTGTATGAGTCGTCTTGGCGTTACTCGTAGTATTAGTCGTGTTTGTCTTAGCATGTTGTCTGCTGTTACTAGTGTCAGTATTGTTATTGATAGCCGTAGTAACTGCTAGTAATATATCATCCCCCTTTCTCATCACTCGTATGATGGTCCTTCTTCTCCTCCTTGTCATTTTCCTCCTCCTGATCCTCCTCGTCCCTATCCTTTGCCCTCGTTCTCCCCATCCTCGTCCTCGTCCTCGTCCTCGTCGTCGCCGTCGCCCCCATCTCTTATCCTCATCCTCCTCCTTATTCTCCTCCTCCTCCTCCTCCTCCTCCTCGGAACCTCCTCCTCGGAACCTCCTGCTCGGAACCTCGGAACTGCGGGCGTTGGTACCAAGCCGGCGCCGCCCTCCCCGCCCCCAAGACTCCCTAGCCCCCCCCCCGAGAAAGGGGGGACGGAAAAACAGCTAGCGGTAGAAATGAAGTAAGGGCACCAAGGGGAAGGGACCCTCTGGGGGGAGGACAGCCGCCAGGGAAACCTGCGACTGAAAGCTCAAGTGGAGAGGGGGGATGAGGAGTGGGGGTGGTGGTGGCACTTGCGGTGGCGGCAGTGAGGCGCGCGAAGCTTTGCCAAGGGGAGGGGGGAGGAGGAGAACGAGGCGGCGGCGACGACCAGGAGACCCGCGAGAGAACGCTCGAAAGGAGAAGGAGGAGGGCAGTGCCGCGGGCTCAGTTGCGGCGGCCGGCTCTGGTGCGCCAAACGAGGCAATCCAGCGAGGCCAGGAACACCGTGATGGGTCCACAGGGTGCGCGTGCGGTTGAGGCCCAGTCATCCACGGCCCCCTGGGCCATCGCCAGGAGGGCCTGCGTCGATGCGGCCATTCGCTCGCGCCCTCCCCCTCCTTTGGCCCCGCCCATCTCCATTCGACAAGGAGCTGGGAATGCAAAGGCAAGTGGGACGGGAAGGGGGCGGGCGCGTACGGGCGAGTTGGCGGGCCAGGAGGGGGGAGAGCATTGGTCCCATGCTGATGCTCCTGTGTCCGACTGCGTTCGATCCCTTGGGGGTCTCGGGACTCCAGAACTACCTGGAGGCCGCTGCACGCCCCCCGACGCCCAGGAGGGGCCAAAAACGCCCCAAACCCTCGATCTCGATTTCCGAGCCCTCTGGTCCTCCCTGTTTACCAGCCTGGAACATATCCCTATCCCTATGCTGGGCACCTCCTCATCACGATGGCAATACTAGGGAGTCCCTTATTTTTTGAAGGCGAATCCCTAAGATTGTCATCGCCTTTTGGCGTGTCAACCTTAGGGATAGGGATACGTTCGAGGCTGGTAACCTGTGTCCGATCACTTCCTCGCCGCGGCCGCCTGATCTGCCCCTCCAGCAGCCTCCTGTGGCCCTCCTCCAGCCCATCGGGCGGCGCGAGCTTGCCCCTCTGGGCAGCGAGGGCCTGCCGTGGGGACGTGGTGAGATGAGCAGGAGAGGAGGGAATGGGGCCGGGGCGAGGAGGGAAGAATCCCGAAGGGAATCTTTCGGGAATCCTTAAGGAATGCTTAAGAATCCCTAAGGGATCCTTCAGGAATTCTTAAGGAATCTCAGGGAATCCTTAAGAATCCCTAGGGGATCCTTGGGAAATCCTTAAAAACCCCAAGCGAGGCGAGACGAGGAGTCGGAGGGTTCCTCCTTTTCCTCCTGTTTTTTTCCTCGCCCCATCTGGGGGCGGGGGGGTCACGGTCACAACAGCAGAAGGTGGGGTCACGCCAACGCTCGCGAGGGAACGAGAAGCAGAGTGGGCGCATCCGCCCTGCGTGAACATCCGCCAGATCGATACCTTCCCCAGGGGAAGGTCGGGGGGAAAGAGGGAAACTGGAGAATGAGGCGTAGGAGGTCGAGCGCTTCTCAAAACGAATGCGAAGAACAGCGGCCAAGGCGAGCACACGGCGGGCGCGGGAGGCCATGACCTCGCCCGCCCAGACTTGCAACGGACAGACAGGGCAGGAAAAGGGGAAGCGGCATCAGAAGGATACCGTTCGAGTCTCGGGTCGGGCGAAAGGGGGGGATAGCAAAGGGGGGGTTGAGAATAACCTCACGTAGCTGATCTTCCCGGCGCCTCCCAGCGCCGGAGGCGACTATGCATCGAGGAAAGGGCCCCTCGGTGGGGCCGAAACCAGCTGCATGCAGCAAATTTCGTAACCCCCCCTTTCCCAATCCCCCCTTTCGTCCGGCCCGAGAGTCTGGTGCCCAAGCGCGTCTGTTGCGGGCGCACAAACTCGCCCACTCGCGGGCGCACGCGCGCGGCGCGCCCTGCAAGTGCACGCGGATCGCTCGGCAAGCGCGCGCGCGCGGGGGGGGGGGGGGCGTCCGCGCGCGGGGGCGCGCCTTCGCTGCGCGGGCGGGAATCGCAGGTGCACGCGCGGTCCAACGGGGCGCGCGCGCGCGCACCGCGTCGCCGCGCAGGCGACCCAGGATATGCAGGTCGGGGCGCGACGGGGCGCGCGCGCGCGACGCGCGGCCACCGCGGCACATGCAGGACGGGCGGGCCCGCTGCCTTTTGCGTTCTCTTCCGTCTACTCAGTCGTTGCTCCGTTTTCTGCCCGCTATTCGTGCTGGCGTTGGCACTGGTTCGCTCGGTTCGCTTATTGTTGGCCTCTGCGTCTCGTGGGTTCGGCTCGTGGTTCGCGTCGCGTGGCCCCCGCCTGCTTCCCCTCCATGGTCGCCCGCGCCCTTGTCTCCTGGCCTCGGGGTCGCCACCTCGGTCGCGCGGTTCGCGCGTCGCGCCCGCGGCGTCCGGTCTCGCCCGTCTGCTCCGCCTCCCCGCGCCGGCTGCTGGCCCGCTTCGCTTTCGGCTCGGTCGCGCTTGCCGCCCGCCGTTCGCCGCCGCCGCCTGCTCGGCCCAGCGCGCGCGCTCGCGCCCAGGCCCCCCTCGCCGCCCCCCCGCGTCCGCAGGTGCCGAATCTCCTCGTCTGCTGTGCCGCGTTCGAAGATCTGGTCTTTTTCTGCGGCCCGTGAACCCGCTCCCCTTGGGGCCCGGGGTCCGCTCGCGCGCGGGCGCCCCCTCTGCGTCGCGTCGCCGCCGGCCCCCCTCTGGCCTCGGCGGCGCTGGGCCCCGCTGCCCTCATCGGTTGCGCTGCGCCCAATTGCCTTCGCTGGCATCGCAGAGGGTTTGTTGGCCACGGTAGACCGACAAGCACCCAGCCGCGCGCTCGCATCACAAACCTAGCATTGGCATCTGCGGCGGGCCCAGGTTTGCCCAGCGTGGGCAGACGCGCCAAAAAGTGCTCCGTCAAGATCTGCCCACCTCAAGCCCGCCAGCGGCCCCGTCGCCAAAGCGGCGGCCCACTACTGGCAAAATCGGACAGACGAACCACGAAGTACCCCGTCAAGGTCAATCGGCTCTTTCGACCACACCGCGGCACATAATTGGACGAAGGGCCCTGGTCCTCGGCAAGGCGGAGGCCCGCCCCCCAAAAAAGATAGACCAAAAATGTTTCGCGGCGACTCCAAAAAACATGAAGGCCAAACGTTCACGCAGACTATCATTTCGGATTTCCATCTATTTGCATGTCCATGTTCGGGGAAATTGGCGACGATGGCCAAAAGTGACTTACTGCGAAGCGAATTTTAATCCACTGCGGCATATCGCCGACAAAGTTAGTTCACAACACTAACACTGCTTCGCAACCAAACCCCCACACACACACACACACACACACGCACACGCACACGCACACACACACACACACACACACACACACACCGCGACACCTCGCACGAGCGCCTGTCGCGCGTCATCGGCGGCCGTTCATGATTTCACGCATGCGCGAGCGAGTCGCGGCGTCGCGGCGCCAGCCGCGACGGGCCATGGAAGGCCCCCAAACACCCCGGAACCTTGGCCGGCGCGCCCATCGCGCGGATCGGGGGGCCAGGCGGACGGGGCCGAAAGCGCCCGGATGCAACCGAACCCAAAGGCCCCCGAGAACCGCTGAGGTTTCGGCGCGCCCATCGCGCGGATCGCGGGGTCAGGCGGACGGGGCCGAAGGCCTCCGAATGCGACTGCGAGCCGCCGGGCGCCGCATAAGTTTCGGCGCGCCCCTCTTGCGGGCCGCGGGATCAGGCGGATCGGGCCGAAGGTTTCCGAATGTAACAGAACCAAATTGCTCGGTGCTGAGGGCGCTGGGGGCCACCGAGAACCGCCGAGGTTTCGGCGCGCCCCTCGCACGGACCGCGGGGGCCCGACAAACGGAGCCGAAAGCCCCCGGGGCGTCACCGCAGAGGCTTCGGCGCACCCCTCGCGCGGATCGCGGGGCCAGCGCGACGGGGCCGAATGCCTTCGAGCGCAACAGAACCCCGCGGGGGCCCTGGGGGGCCGCCGAACACCGCGAGGGTTCCGCCGCACCCCTCACGCGGGCCGCGGGGTTGGGCGGACGGGGCCGAAGGCCTCCGAGCGCAACAAGACCCACTGGCCAATGGGGACCCTGGGAGGCCAGCGAGAACCGCAGAAGTTTCGGCGCTCCCCTCACGCGGATCGGGCGGACAAAATGACGGGGCCCAAAGCCTCCGACTGCAAGTGAACCCGTGGCCCCTGGGCCCATAGGCCACGGGCCATGGGCCATTGGGCCATGGGCCACGGGGGCGCTAAGGAGCCACCGAGAACCCAAGAAGTTTCGGCGCGCCCCTCACGCGGATCGCGGGGCCAGGCGGATGGGGCCGAAAGCCTCCGAGTGCAACCGAACCAATGGCTAATGGAATCGCTAATGATTGATGGCTCATGGCTCATGGCCAGTGGCCAATGGGCCACTGGCCATGGGCAGTGGGCCAATGGGCCACTTGGCCAATGGTCCATTGGGCCGATGGGCCACTGGGCACTGGGCAATTGGCCAGCGGGCGCGTTCGGAGGCCACCGAGAACCACAAAGGTTTCGGCGCGCCCCTCACGCGGGTCGGCGGGCCAGGCGGACGGGGCCGAAGGCTAAGGAAAAGCAACTTCCCATGAATCATCCGAAACGAGAAACGCCCGGCGCGCGAGCGCGAAGCACGCGGCTGCCCCCGCCGGCGGCGCCACTCCGCATCTTGCATCTTCCCTCCCCCCACCTCCTTATCTTCCTCCTCATCCTCTTCCTCCTCCCCCATCCTCCTCCTCCATAACCCCCTCCCCCCCTCCTCCCCCCCCTACTCCTCTTCCTGCTCTTCCTCCTCATCGAGCCCCCCTCTCCCGCCGATCCCCCCCCTTCCCGCCCCTTCTCATCCACTGCGCCGCAACCGGCGAGGGCGCATCACAGGAAAGAGAGAACTCCTCGAAATTGTGCCTCAGGAGGCGCAACGCTCGAAGGCGATTGGATTCACCCCCATTGCAAAGTCCGCACTCGCAGGCCTTGAAATCCCCGCGGGCACACAGCACATTGGATTCCGCGCCGGCGCCCGATGCACTCGACGACCATCGCGCCCGCGACCGAGCGGCGCCGCCCGCCCTGGCAATACAACAACAATGCGCGGGTCGTGCCACCATTCTCTATCATCACTTTCACGGTCCTGAAAACTTCGCCCAGCTTGGACACTAGCCATTCGAGCATTGCCTCATTGGGCGTGATCTGCGCATTGGGCCCACGGCGTCTGCCATCACGCCGACGGAGTCCGCTCGCGGAGGGGTCTCGGTGAATCAAGCCTCATGTCGACGACAACGTCGCACTGGATTCCCTTGGTCGCGCAGTGCGGCACTGTGACGGTCTCCAGCCTTGGATGCGAAGACTCGGGCTCGGGCCGATAGTCTCGCGGCCGCGGCGCGCCTTGGGCTCGGGCTGATCGCGATCGCCCCGCGGCCTGCTTGGGGCCCCGGGGCGGCGCGGAAACCTGCTCGTCTCGCGGCCGCGGCCGCGGCCGCGCCTGACGGGGGTCTCGGGGCGCCGCGCCTGCCGTGACTTCGCAGGCATCAGCGACGCCGGCGGCGGGCGGTCGCCCCCTTGAGCGCCACGCCCGTAGCACCCCCTGCACACGCGCACCATGTAGACCACTCCCCGCACTTCATGATGGCCGTGGCACACTTCTTGCACACTGCCACATGGTCGGCTGCAGTGAACTCCGTCACTCTGCCCTGGATCTCCTCGTGGCAGCGATTGCATGGACTGCCGCGGCGGTTGGAGCACGTCCTGCCGACGGTCGCGTTCAGGCGCGCATCAGATGCCGCAGTCCGCCGCTCCTTCTAGATAAACTCCTTCGTCTTGGGATCGCGCAACCCGCGCGCACAACCGTCAACCGGAACCCTGAACAAGTGCCCCCTGAGCGCCCGCAGACATGGCAACGCCCAGGCACCACATCTCAGGGGCTGCTCGAAGTCGATGTCGGCTCCTTGATGTAGAGCCTGGCGTGCGAGTAGAACAGATGCCATGGTGACCTCGTCGTTATTGAGTCTCTTGGCCCCCATGCTTTCGCGCTGATCTGGCGCTTTCTGCCTGGC